TCCCCTGGAACTGGAGTTATGGACAGTTGTTAGCTGCCATGTGGGTGCTAGGATTCAAACCCGCGTCTTCTGCAAGAACAGTCAGTGTTCTTAACCACTAAGCCATCTCTCCAGCCCCATCTTTGGGGTCTTTTTACCCTAACTGCCTAGCCAATTCCTATCTCCTGTTCTTATCACACCATCCTTTGAAGAGATTACCCAAATTGCCAATAGGGAATCGAGATGCAGACTGCTCTGGCTTCTATGCTGAACAGGGATGCAGGGTGAGGCAATTGGAGTACCCCTTCAGTGGGTCTATCTAAAAGACTCCCAAATTATATAACTCTTTATCTCTAGAGGGAAAAGAAAGTCCTTGAATAGTGAATAGGAGATGTGAAGGAGAAGTAAAGGCAAGAGTAATTAGCATTACAAGCTCTAGCCAGAGAACTAGAAAAAAAGTCAGAACAGGGCAATTATCAACTGTTAATATGAGTCCATTGGAATTTCTTGACAAGGACTTCCAAACACATCCCTCTATTGGGTTCCTCCTCATTTTTCTTTTGTCTGCCAAGGCTAGACTCTAGAGTGATGGATTCAGGATTTGCTTTCACGCATTTTGATTGCTGTTGGAGTGGTTAGAATCAGTGTCAGTTCCCTCTCAAAGGCTACTAGATCCGGAGAAAAAACAAATTTGGCAGTCATCATTTTAGAACAACAGTGGGTTGTCTCCCTTAGCTGCAGGTGGGCACTACAGTATTGTAGACCAAGATTTGAAGTCTTACGTCTGAGCAGCACTTTGTGATTAAAAACAAAATCATCAATGAGAAATAATTGTCTAAATAACATTTTGTATGGACTTAAGTCTAATGTCTGGGAAGTGTAATCCCTTGAACTCTTAAAGAAATATACTGATCACTTTACTCTCTGATTATACTTTCCTTTTGGGTGTTTAAGACCGTACAGTTGGCCCAAATAAATCAATTTTAAAAAAAATATTTTATTTATTTTTATTTTATGTGTATGAGTGTTATACCTGTATGTAGGTAAGTGTACCCGTGTCATGCAATGCCCATAGAAGAAAGAAGAGGCTGTCAGATCCCCTGGAACTGGAGTTACAGATAGTTGTTAGCTGCAATGTGAGTGCTGGGATTCGAACCTGGGTCTCTGCAAGAACATTCAGTGTTCTTAACCACTGAGCCATCTCTCCAGCCCCAAATCAATTTATTTTTACACTTAAGGTCATTTGAGGATCTGTTCCTCAGGGGTCACGTGAGCTTGGGAGGAGCTCCTGGTTCCTTTCTTTTACCAGTTCCATCTATGTGAAGATAAGTCAAAGGTCCTGCTTGACTAG